TTGGAATCAGCAGTGTGTAGCCTCCATTCCCAGAGTGAGAAGAGTTCTCCAGAAATCAATAATTATAAGGAGAGCGTGTGTCAGATTCAAAAACAGTTTTCTTGAACATCTCTACGTCTTGTACAGCTTAGTTCTCATCATGAGGCAACCCCCTTTTGAATAACTTGGAGGTTATTTTCTGTTGATCTCACTTTGCTTTTTAAAATTCTTCTGTGTTGGCTCAAAGAGAGTTCTACTTTCAAAGGTCCAAGATTTTGGTCTGCATCTAGATCATCCTTGCTATTTAAAGTATAGTCTGTGGACCAGCAGTATTGGTTCCACCTGGAAACTTGCAGGAAATGCAGAACCTGGGGCCCCTGCTCATAATCTGCATTTTTAACAAGCTCCCTGAGTGATTCTTAGCACATTAGTTCTAGATTTCAGAATGCAATGCAGTCTAGGATTTGGGTTTATCAACCTTGCTGTGGGTGTCCTCTCTGACCTCTTGACAGACTCTAGTAGACTCTGCTGGATCTTTTGCCTTTGCTTACCTCCTTGGAATTGATTCTCACGAGTTTAAACCCAGAGACTCTCTGGGATCCTCCTGCCTAACGACTCAGTGTTGGTCAATCTGGTCCTGTGACAATGACAGAGGAATTGATGTGCTCTCTGCCAACATATGTCACATTACTCTTAAATCCAATCTCTTTGTTCCAGCTTTAGGTGAAGATTTGGAGAAACAATTGTCCTCTTGCTCTGGTGAAGCCAGTTTTAGACTCCACTCACCCCCAATTCTGACTTTACTCCCAAGACCTCTATGCCACAGGGAATAATCCTGAATTTTATCCTGTTAGGCTCAGAGATATTTTATTCTATGTGTAATATCCTTTGTGCAATATCTAATCCAGACCATAACCCCATAGGCATTAATCAATGTTTCGACAATCCTCCTTATTATTCAAGTAGAAAAAAATATAAAAAGATGATTATCTAGTAAAATATAGACAGATTTCCAGCTTTCTTTTAGATCACTTAATAGATGTTATTACCCTGATCAATATGCATTCAAAGCCCCTACTTACCTGACCACAACCTAGAAGCCTCAGGCAGTACAGTCAACACTGCATTTGGTAAAAAGATAAAGTTAGGAAGTAAGAAAATTAGGATGTGCTCTTACCTGTACAGGGTGAAGCCTAGTTTTGATGCTTCCAACACCTTCCACAGTGGTGACAGCAGCTCCATACAGAGAGCAGATGGGCACCAGGCATGCAGTGATGGAGAAGTGTCTTTGTACGAGAAATACAAGGAAAATCAAGGAGAGCAACACAGGCCTGCCTCATGGGGGGACCTGCAACCAAGAAGGGCAGCAGAAAGCCTCCAAAGCCTATCATTCAGCCTAGGGTATAGGGAACCAGAGGGGTGGCAGGCAGGAAGAATTTAGAGTCCTCTCTGATGACTCTGTGCTATCCATAAGAATTGGGGATTCTTAAGGTGAATCTGGGCATTCTGAACTTTAGAAAAACTTTCCAAGCCCAGAACAGACCCACCAGGGAGCAAAGGGAATGAATTCGTGTCACTAGGAGTGCAGTTGAACGTCAATTAGTATTCACTGTGGCACTGACCTCACAACAAGCGAAAGGCACACCGATGTCTTTTACCCATATCTACACATTTGGGAATTATTTTGCCTGTTAAGTTTAAACTCTCTGGATAAAGTCATTCAACAGTGTAGGATAACCCATGTTCTGAAGCCATCTTGTTGGGCCAATGGATTTTGGAGAAGCCCAAGTTCTAGAATCTGTCCCTTAATTAAAGGGTGAAATCCTGGCCCAGGTCCTTGCTCTGCAGGGTTGGTCCAGCCCAACCAACAGTAGAAAGAGCATTGGATTCTGAGCCAGAAAACATGGGCTCAAGTCTTTGTTCTACAGCTTACTATTTGTATGAACTAGAACAAGTCACTTCATCTCTTTGAGCCTTAGTTTCCTCATCTGTAAGCGAATAGCCAGCCTAAATTGGGGTAATCTGGTGCACAGATGGGCCTTGGCAGACCCATGATCTCCCTGAAATGGTACGCAAATACAATTAGTTTATGTATTATCTGAGTAGATGCCTCACAGCTTTATCAGATTGTTCAGACTCCAAGACAGCAAGAATCAAAGACTCTTTCTTAGCTGTAAGATGACAATACAAGCCAGGCAAAGCAACAAGGCCCTCCTCTGACTTGTGGGCTTCTGGGCGCGATACCTTATCTTTGGTACGCAAATACAATTAGTTTATGTATTATCTGAGTAGATGCCTCACAGCTTTATCAGATTTTTCAGACTCCAAGACTGCAAGAATCAAAGACTCTTTCTTAGCTGTAAGATGACAATATAAGCCAGGCAAAGCAACAAGGCCCTCCTCTGACTTGTGGGCTTCTAGGCGCGATACCTTATCTTCGTGGACACGGGGTCATGCTTAGACACCATCACGGTGCAGGCGCCGCAGCCTCCTCTTCCGCAGGCGTACTTGGTCCCTGTGAGATGTACTGGAAGTGGGAAGGTCAAGGAAAAGATGCCATGGTAGACATTGCCTACAGAATAGCTGCCTCCCTAGGGTGTTGCTAGTGAGGAAGATCTTCTGTGGGATGAGGTGCCAGTCTGAGAAGCCATTTGTATGCCTCCAGGTCTTAGTAAAGGTCGCTCCATGTCTTATTAGCTGTATGACACTAGACATATTAACTTCTCCCTGTCTGTTTTCTCACTTGCAAAGAGAGAGAAAACCTACTTCATCTTCACAAGCTTATGATAAGCATCTTGTAGGAAAATGGATGTAAAAGCCTTCTGAAAAATCCTTTTTCATTATAGGGTATTCTTATATGTCTTCTTTTGTTCCAATCATATAACTAAGAAGAGAAGAACTTTGTTTTAGCAACTCAGTGTAGGAGGGGTCTTCCAAAAGCTTATGGATGAATTTGCATTATTTCTTAGTTTAGTTTTTCCATGACCTTTTTGAAGTATGCTTGTATTACTAGTTTTGCCCAGTAATTTGTATTGCATTTGAAAGCAAGTTCGTGATCTTTGGAGGGATCTCCTGTTCTTATTTTCAGATCTCACCTTGAATGTCCATCTGCTCTGTCTTGGTCCGGGCCTAATCCCAAATCTAGGCTCAGCCCCAGTCCCTTCTCTTTATTAATCCTTCTCCCTGATTGTGGTTAATTTCCACACAATTTTTGGGATTGCATGTAATTAACTAGACTGGCTAAAGAGACTTCAGAATCACTGACTCTTTATTACTATTATCTGTTGGATTCTTTTTTTAACTATAGGGCTTGTTCATTTAAATTAAGTCGTAACCTCCAAAGCTTATCACAGAGGTAATATAAATGAATAGAGTGGGCTGGGTGTGACTGGGGAACTCGAGCCCTGTTTTAGAAAGGGGACTAGACACAGTCCCTGATGAGCTCTAAGCAAGACTATTGCCATGCAGGAATGGCAATCTTCCCATTTTTCATGAGAAGCTGAAAATTTTATTTTTTATTTTATAAAATATAAAATTTCTTATTTTTCAAACACTGGCAACTAATTAAAAACAAAACTTATCCCGAGGCTGATGTCATCAAATTGTAATTCCTGTCTTTTTATTTTTATTTTTGGCTTCTCAGAGCAATCCATCAGATTTACCAATAAAAATATGTTTCCATTATGAAGATCTGTTTCCCAGAATATAAAATGGTGGGGAAAATCGGGTGTAAAAAACAGATGTAGGGAAAGGAGGTCTTTTCCTAGGACACACACTGTCACCGAAGCAGAAGAATTTGGTTTCAGGAAAGGACAAGCCTCTGTTACATCACAACCCTGTGGGTATCTGGAAAGCCCATAAGCAGATAATTAGTGCTGAAGTAAGGAGCTTAGCTTCTATTTCACTGCTATTAAATCAGATATAAGAAACTCAGGGGAAACTTTATCCTCTCCAAAATAGCCCAATTAACTTAATACCTTTAAAACCACTGCCAAAAGCTAATAAAGAGCAAGGGCCAAGGGGGCTGACTGTCTGGGGAGGTTCAATTACTTCTCATAATCACAGCTGGCTTAAGTTTTAAGGCAAACACAGACATGGTGAGGACTTTGACAAAAAGGGTCCAGTTCTTCCGTAGGAAGTTCAGCAGAGTCACTTCTGGGTCCGCACTCCTCTCTATCACCTGTGTTGGGACAGAAGAGAGATTGGTTGGGCTTTGAATCAGTGACCCAGTGGAATGTCTGTTACGCCTGTTTGATTTAGGTGTTAAATATCAGGCCTGATTTCACCTGCACCTGTTTTTTTGTGCTCTGAGTGCAAACAACCTCCACATATGTTTATGGGGCAGGAGGCTCACAGAGCAAGCAGGCGACAGTGGGCTTATAAGTGATTAGAGGTGGGTATCACTTCTTTGTAAAGCTGCCCTGGGAGTTGTATTCTTCTTATTTGCTCCACTACCTAATTCTGTGGAATCTTCCAACCCAATCTTTTGTACTCTTATTTTATTTATTTATTTATTTTTGGTAGCTGGCCAGTACAGGGATTGAACCCTGGACCTTGGTGTAATTAGCATCATGCTCTAACCAACTGAGCTAACTGGCCAGCCCCTCAGTCTTTTGTACTCTTGAAACATTTCAAATCTGGGAGGGACTTGGATTGTATTTATTTATTTTTGGTAGCTGGCCAGTACAGGGATTGAACCCTGGACCTTGGTGTAATTAACATCATGCTCTACCCAACTGAGCTAACTGGCCAGCCCCTCAGTCTTTTGTACTCTTGAAACATTTCAAATCTGGGAGGGACTTGGATTGTGTGTGTGTGTGTGTGTGTTTGTGTGTGTGCGCACACGTGTGTGCAATGTAGGGTCTTGCAGGGAGGAAAGCCGGGTGGGTAGATTTTCTATTTGAGCACCTCTAAGAGGTGTCTCAGAAGAGTACATTTGATAACATCAGGGGTCTAAGAGTTGGTAGCAGAGAGGGGAGGTGGAGAGGGTTGCTGTCATCTTGGAGAGGCCCTGGAACCTGCCAGTCCCCTAACTGGCAGAGGGCCTGATGGTGAGCCCTGGTGCTCTAGCTCAGGACACAGGGTTGCTCTGGTGGGACACTAGAATTCCTCCCTCCCTTCCCTTGAAAAATGGGGGATTTAGCATTCAAAAGCCACGAGGGACCTTCTTTGGTGCCTCTTTCCCGTTTGCTTATTTTGGGATATTTCTTCTGACTTTGTCTTGCAAACATCTCTAGCCGTTTTGTTGTATTAGAGGAAAGGAAGATACAGTGAGCTGTCCATGTTAGGTTCTTCCTTTCTCCCCAGAAGGAAGACATAAACTTTTGCAGACCTCACAGACTGAAAAACTACATGAAGATGCTTCCAAGCTGAGAGATTAAAATTCAACTGCTTTCTGGATCTTTAGGGGGCTTCTTATCAATGAAAGAAGTCCTCCTCAGCCTGTCTTTACTGTCACCCCAGGTTGTTTAAAAACATTTACTGAGAGTGTGGTCGGATAACATGTTTTATTATCTAATGGACTCCCAGCCCCACCACACATGCCTGTATGTCCTCTAACCCTCGACTTACTCCTTGTTCTGGTTGCAACTACTTCACTCTGGACTCATGACCCAGGAGGGATGTGGAGCAGAAAGTAGAGGAAGGAGCCTCCTCTGGCTTTTTGGTTTCCAAAGCCTAGGCCAGTGGAACAAGCAAGAAGAGACTCAGCTCATGAGTGATAGCTTTGGAAGAACATGTGGCGGTGGCTGGTTGTAGATCTGGAAATAGGGGAAAGCGCTAGAAGGGAAATGATGAGACCTTAGAGGCTCTATGGTCTATCTCCTTTCTTGGGCTGAGTTCTGGGAGGTGGGGGGTGGACATGACCAAACCCCAGTTAGGTTTGCAGAATCAAGGCTGAGGGGCCCTGGAGGAGAGGTAGCAAGACCCCAGAGAAGCTGGGTCACTTGGGAGCTACAGGATGGTTTCCCTGAGAGACAGAGACTTGTGAGTGGAAGGACCTGGCACAGGGTGCTGAGGGTTAACTGGTGGCCTGCATGGATTGATGGCAAGGACCAGAGGGGAGAATGCCAGGGAAAACTGGCAACAAAAAGGCTTGCCCTTGCCATAGAGGTTCCCCTGGAACTTAGCTGCAACCAGGGAAGAAGGGGACTCCGAACTGACTCTGATTACATTGCAACCAATTCTGTATGTTGGGGACTCAACAGAAAAATTGGGTTGATACACAGAAAAATTTTTAAAAGCTCCATTTCTTGTCCTCCTGAGTTTGAGGATCAAGATATATTGCTATATAAAGTGTTTCTGTGTAGCAGGCCCAGCACTAAGTGCTTTGTAAGTACTTGGGGGTTTCCATCAATGAAAAAAGCAGCTTTCTTTTAATTTTTTCAGTAGCCCTAGAAAGTGGATTCCCAAAGTAAGGACTCTGAAGCTCAGGGAGGTGAAGTAACCTGCATAAAGTTACATGGTAAATGGCAGAGCTAGACTGGAAAAGAGACCATTGGACACCATTAACCCCAATGCTTTACTGACTCCCCAAATTGCTGGGAGCTGAGCCCTGGCTGAGGGGGGAGTAGGCCAAATTAGGATGGGTTCCAGGTCCCTGGCTTCTTGCCCTGGACTGGAGGGGGTTCCACCCAAATGGGCCACAAGAGCTCCCCTCCAGCTAGTGTTTCCTGCTGTCCTGCAAGTGTTAGTAATGCCAACACTTACCTTCCTCCCATTCACAAAGAAAACCAATTCATCCGATTGCGGTGGACAAGGCATTGCCCCTGTAAATAGATTTCACCTTAGAACTCTAGGTCAGAATGCTCTTTGCACCAGCCACAGAAATGAGCAGAGAGGATTTAGGTCCAAGCAGCTGGAATCCCTCTGTGTAGAAGCAGGTGGCCTGGAGCCTCAGAGAGGAGGGCAGGAGGTGGAGACTCCCTTGCATCATGGCTTTTTAAGTCCAGGGCTCCTGTCTGCCTGGCCTCTTCACTGCAGCCTCACTCTACCTCCCACCAATCCTGGCTTTGAAGCTAGCTCTGCACACAGCCCACGTCACTTCTTGCTTTTTTCCTAAAGTTTGAGGGCTTCAGTGTGAACACCATAAAAAACAATCTAAGCTTAATCCATTCTGAACACTGCCTCAGCCCCAGGAACATATCCTGGTTGAATTTCATTTTTCTCAAAGACGGTTAAAAGTAGGCTTTCTGAGACCTCTCCCTTTTCCCAACTGTTTTCTTATTCTGGCTGCAGAAATGTCTCAATGATATGGGCAAGTCCAGTCTGCACCCTACTTAAAGTGCAGGTGTGGAGTACCTTCCTACTTCCTCCCCACCCCCAGGATCTATCCACTGGAAAATAGTGATCTAGTCATAAACCAAGACCCAGAGAGGTGCGATCGGGAGCTCAGTGTCACTCAGAAGTAAGTGGCAAAGCAGGAACTAAAACCAAGATTGTAACACCTTAAGCGTATAGACAGAATCCTTGATGCAAAGAAAAATATGATGTTTGATCTTTCTGAACATTGCCAATGAGATGTCTGTAGATAAAACAGAACAGTTCTTATTCTCCTTCAGCTAAAGTAAGGCCCAGGACTTGGCCTTGTGTATGGGTGAAGCAAGGAGCTACTTCTGTGCCTAGTTTCAGGAGAGGTGACAAGATTCCTCTGTGCCACAACACTACCTTCATGAGTTTACGGAGCCCTGGCACCAACGTCAGAGTATGTCTTAAGATAAACATTTGCTGTGTGACAGCGTGTCAGGCCAGAAATGGCAAAAACCTGGCATCCTCTTGACTTGGCTAAGTGAGGAAGATCCTCTTTCTCACTTGATCTGGATGTGGCTTTAGAATCCTTCCTGACATATCTGGAGTTGGTAGCTTCCAAATTTCTTGACAATCCTAATGCTTAGGTCCTCAGGCATATGTTTTCATACAGCCGTGGAAATGAGTTTATGCACATGCCCATGTGTTTATGCACATACATGCATGGGTGTGTATGTGCGTGTTTTGCATATATTAAAAAGTTGCTGAATAAATTTACAGCAGACTCATGAGAGGAGAAATGGAAGATTACGCTGTGAATTAGGTAGAACCTTCAGGTCACTCCTGGTGATATCAGGACCTGATCATATATATCACTCCTATTCAAAAGCCTCCAATAGCTCTCTGAGGCCTGGCACATAAGGTCCAAACTCCTTAGCCTAGTGTGCAAAGCCCTCCACAGTCTGTTCCTGTTTCTGGCCTCTGATTCTCTTGCTCTTCAACAAAACAAAACAAAACAAAACAAAACAAAACAAAACAAAACAAAACAAAACAAAACAAAACAAATACTCCTGCTCCAGCCAAACTACTCTTCTCACAGTCCTTATTCTGCACACACCTGGCCTTTCTCTACTTGCAACCTTCCAATGGCCTCCCATGACATTCAGCAAAACCCCACATGCTGCCCATGGAGGCCCCACTGGACTGGCCCCACCCACCTCTCTGAGTGTGTCTTCAACCACTTTGTTCCTTGTTCCTAATCTCTGCCCCATTGGCCTTTCACTACTTCTTGAATATGCTAAATTCTTTTCTGTCCCAAGGCCTTTGTGCATGTTACTTTCCCTGCCTCAGCTTCCCTTCTCTCAGACTTTGGCATGGCTGGTATCTTCTTGTTATTTGGGTCTGAGCTCTTCCTGGATCACCGAGTCTCAAGTAGCACCTCCGTCACTCTATATTCTACCACCCTCTTTCATTTTCTCCATAGCACTCATTACTACCTGACATGGATATTTGTTTACTTGTTTACTTTTTTATTTGCTTTCTCCACTAGAATAGAAGCTCCATGAGGGCAGAAACATTACTTTCAGCTCACCATTCTATCCCCAGGGCCCAGAATGGTGCCTGCCGCAGAGTATACACCCAATAAGTGTTTGTTGAATGACTGGAGAAGGTTCTCCCATGGCTGCAATGATAACAATCCTGTCCCTGTCCCTCTGTGATTACCCCCCCTTCCTCTTTATCAACCATCAAAAACAACTCCAAACCTCCTTTCTCTCCTCTGAATTCTAAAAGCACCTGTGGATCCAACCAATTACTTCTCTACTTTACATTTAATAAACCAGGAACCAGGAAACTAGTATTTAATCTGCCACTAATTATTGCTAACTTTTCAATATTTGTGTCTCAGTTTCCTAATTAGGAAAAAGCTCCCAAAGTTTAGAATAGCTAGCTGTATCCCACACTCTCACCTCTTCCCCAGGGTGATGGAGATGCAAAGGATTACTCAAAGCCCATTTCTTCTGAGCAGGGAGAATCCCCAAAGGGGTTAATTTCCAGGAATCCTCAAGAGAGAGGCATTCCTCCTCAGAAAATTAACCCTGAACTCCAGTCTTCTCTCCATATTTATTCTTCAGGCAGGAAAGTTATAGAAAAGGAACATATGTGGTTAAAAAAGAACAGTAAGATAATTGTCATGGCAACAGTCATTAGGTTTAGTTGCACCAAGAACATCTGCCCTTGGAGCCAGCAATTTTGCTGTGTTACAATTCTTTATCTACAACAGAGACTTTAGCCTGTGGAAAGTTTCCTGTCTTTTGCAAGCTTAACATTTCTATGTGTAATTTTTAAAAATTAGGTTATACCTGAAACTATGGGGCCTTGGAAGCTAGGCCCTGTGAAATACGTTTGCTTTATAAATGTTAGTATTCTCCACACACACAATGCTCAGCATAAATGACAACTTATTCATTGCCTGATTACCTAAAATACTTTAAATGAGGGGGACATTAATCATTCATTCATTCAACCAGTAGTAACTGAGCCTCTGTCTCGCAGCACTGTGCTAAGTGGTGGAGGTACGGTGAAAAGAAGACCTACAAGTTTTCTTCCTCCGAGGAGGTTAAGGTTTAGTAAGACAATTAACATGAATTAAACATTTATGCTTAGAACAGAGAGATTAGCCTTGTTTGGGAGACAGGGATCAGAGAAGGGCTCCCTGAGGAAGGAACATTGAGGCCTGAGAACTAAGTAGGAGTTGATGCCGTGAGAACTGGGAATGGAAGGGGAGGCAGGCTGGGGGAGAGGGGAAGGAGCGGGTGGAGACACAGGCCCTTCTCATGGTTGCTTCCGCCTAAGGGAAAATGACACAGGGATTGTTTTAAGGGTTGACAATCTGTCCACCACCTCACTCTGCCCTTTAAAAGAGGGCAGCTAGTAAATGCTAAAGCACACGATTACCCCTTCCAGGGACACAGACGCGGCCAGTGGTTGTGAAAAGCATGAATCATGGTGTTTTAGAATATTTATTGGAATAAATCACTCAGCATCAACACAAAATACAAGCATTTAAATTAAAAGAATAGTTTGAGAGCACTAAAGTCGAATTACGGTGTTAGATTTGGAAGATGTAAAAGTACTTTGGATTAGGGAACCAAATGCATTCATTGCTGGGAAGCTGAAAGCTGACCCTGAGTTGCTTTAGGGAAATGTTTTTCCAACCTGTCTGAGCCGGAGAAACTTTTGTCTGAATGAAATCTTGTGGAGCGTAAACAAACTACGCAAAAAGGTTGCTGCTCTCAGCTGAGGGTGTGGGGGTGAGGCCTGAAGTCCTCTAGCTTTCTCTCCTTCAAGAAACCCCCGAGCTCTGGGGAGCTCAGTTCGTGAACAAAAGATTGCCCACTGCGAGACAGGCGGTCTCTGCCAGGCTCTTCTCTCAGTTCCTATTCAAGACAATGGAAAAAAGCAACCGCTGCTTGTTTCTTTCTTTTTTTCTTCTTTAATGAAAAGGAAAGACTAAATTTCTTCAGTTTTAAAGGAATTATTCTGGTGGACGAGAGAAACTCCACATATGTTGACCCAGGTGCTTGTATGTTCATTATAAAAAAGGTCTTATGATTTACATCAAAGAATCCCTGTTACTCAATGAAATAATTAATATTAGAAATGACTCTGCCCTCCCCCACAATTCAAACAAACCTATCTGGAATAAGAACTGTAATACATCCTGTTCGCTGATGTCACTGGGAAAGAACTAGCCACTGCTTTGGGGTTACTGGGGTGCTGACTTCTGTTTTGAGCTCTTCAAAACCCAAAGATGGAACACAGCTAAGCAGAATGATAGTGGGGCACGTCTTAGGATGCTGAGATCTTGGGCTGATCATTAAATATCCACGTTCCAGAACTTTTCTTCTCAACCTTTTTGACTACGAGGGCCCTTCCGTTCCCTCCCAGTCCAATCTTTCTGCCTCTGCTGAGCCAGGCAGTGCTGGCCTGTGGGAATCTGGGTGCCAGTGAGGGCTTGGGCTCTGTGGGAGGGGGGTTCTCTACCATCAGGCTGGGGGAGCCTGGAGATCAGCTCCCCAACAACTGTGAATCTGGAGGAGAGCTTGGTCCCTGGGGTGGGGCGGGGCACAGAGAATCTGACACTGGTGTGGACAGGTCAGGAGTGCCAGGTGCGTCGGCTGAGCCCCTCCTGCCCTCAAGTCTGGGTGAGTCCAAGGAGTCAGGAGAGCTGTAAGCTGGGAGGCTTCGTCCACTGGCCTCAGCAGGGCCTGGGCTGCTTTCCTGCTTCTTCCCTGCCAGGGTCTGGGTTAGGATCCTTCTGCCTTCTGTAGCCTGTGGCTGCTGCCTCTCAGGGCTCTGCAATAACTACGTTGCAGCCCAGTGGGCTGACAAATAAAAAAATATTTAGGGGGCCTGTTGTGAGTTGAACTGTGTTCCCAATGTGATCTTATTTGGAAACAGGGTCTTTTAGATGTAATCAAGTCAAGATGAAGTTATGCTAGATTAGGCTGGCCCCTAAACACAATGACTGGTGTCCATATAAGGAGAAGGATATTTGGAGACATACACATGGAGGGAAGATGTGGGCAGAGATTGGCGTGATGTGTTTACAAGCCAAGGAATGCCAAGGATTGCCAGCAACTATCACAAGCTAAGGAAGAAGCAAGGAAGGATTCTTTCTTAGACCCTTTAGAAGAAGCATGACCCTGCTGACATTTTGATTTCAGACTTCTAGCCCCCAGGACTGTGAGAGGGTAACTTGTTGTTTTAAGCCAGCCCGCGTGTGGTACTTTGTTAGGGTGGCGCTGGGAAACTAATACAGATGCAAGAGCTGGAGAGGACACACCCAGCAAAGGAGAGTCGCTGGAGGAGACAACCGTCAATTTGAATATAAAAGAAGGACATTAAACAGCAGCCCCACCCCCCTCAATACCTTCTGGAAAACAAACCACCAAACCAGCCAAGGAACAATTCAGTAGATGAAGATGGTCATGGTTGAAATCCGAATGTGTGACTTGGGAAACAAAGTGCCATAAATACATCTCAGCACAGAGCAAACACACACAGAAGGAGAAATCATGAAGGGCAGGAAAAGAGACTTGGGACATGGTTGAAATCCGAATGTGTGACTTGGGAAACAAAGTGCCATAAATACATCTCAGCACAGAACAAACACACACAGAAGGAGAAATCATGAAGGGCAGGAAAAGAGACTTGGGACCTAAACGCAGGAGACCTCACGCGTGAATAAGACAGCTAAAGGAAAAAGAGGGATAGATAAAGAGCAGTCATTAAACACTAGAAGAAGCTTTCTCTGAGCTGAAGATCTGAGTCAAGGGATTGGAACGCCCCTCAAGTTCCAGGCTGGACTGAAGAGAAAGGACACCCACCTGATACCAGTTTTGAACTCCAAGGATAAATGGACTAACTTACAAGGGTCTAGGCTGAAAGATCGAGTTTTCAATGAGGGAAAAAGAATCAACGTGGCATCAAACTTCTTGGCTACCACAAGGGACCCTAGGGGGCAGTAGACTGGCATCTGCTGGTTGCTGAGAGGAAAGAGGGGCAGCGGGGGACCCTGTGAAGTCTCCCTGCCTGGGCAAAAGACCACCCCATCTGAGGGAGAAAAATCAAACAGAAAACAACTCGGATAAGAAAGGCGAAGGGGAGAGGAAGTCTAAATGGATGAGGGGAGTCTCTTTGGGAATGTGTAATATAAATGCTAGAAAAAGTCGTACCGTGAGGGAAATTTAATTAATAGTCTAGAACTAAAATCTACAACTGCAGCGACTTCAGGGCTGGGGTTGCTGTGAGTAGGGGGAAAAGTAAGAGAGTTAGCAAAGTATTATTTTACTGGGACAAGTGGTGGAAATATGAGAACAGACAGAGCAGGAGGCCAGGAAAGAATAGCTTTTTGTGGGGGAAATACTTGGCATCTTGTTTTCAAATCATGGTAGAGAAATATGTATGTGTTTGTTAGAGCAGGTAAATGGAAATGAATGACTAATGGTACAATTGAACTTCCAAATTAACAAGAGGAGAAATGGAATTACTCGTAGCTTGAACAAACCAGCAAAATAATGAAAAGGAAAACATAGAAGCCACAGTGTAAAATCTATACTATATACTATATACAGTTTAAATTATATATTTTATGTGTAATAGGTATGAGGTAAAAAATAAAAAAATTAATAATTATAAGAAATGTGAATGAATTTCATTCTGCCACTTAAAAAGGAGGATGAAAATATAGATGGGTCAAAGAGATAACATGACAGTGTCAGCAATAAAACAACTTAGTATGGAAGAGAATGGAAAAGATTAAAACCCTATTGTTGAACAAAGAACAAGGAACAAATGGATTTACAGATGAATTTTATGTAATCATGAAGATAATGACAATGTTTGTTATTTAAACTATCTTTGGCATATAAAAATGGAAATTCTCTCCAATTCATCTTATAAATCTAGCAAAATTTTAATACCAAAACTCAACACAGACAGTACAAAATATGCCAAGTAAGAATTATGTCTGGGACAGGGTGGTTCAATATCAGAAATCTATCACATTATTAAATCTAACTTACTGCATTACATAAAAAAGAAAGGAGGAAAACGTGATCAAATCAATAGATGCTAAGTCACTTAATAAAATTCAGCAGCCATTTCTAAGAAAAACTAAGTCAAAGAGAACAGGAAGAAACTAATGATTTAAGACTATTTCCAAAAACCAATAACTCATATTATTAGTGCGGCCTTCAGGTGAGGAAGATGTTGCACCGTGTACATGGCTTGTGGCAGAGGAGGACCAGGTGGAGGTTTTGGATGGTTACTTACTGAAGCCTCTCCTAAACGGGCCATCTGGGAGTGGTAGGAGCCTGAGGACTGTGGTAGGCTGGCCGTGGGGGACGGCTCTCACCCACTCATAAGAGCTGACCACGAGCATCTCTTTCCAGCTCCACATTCAGATTCCTCACGTCAGTGGCTTGGAATTGGCAAGGTGGGAGTATTTACACTATGGAAATTGGCAAACACTGTAAGTCAGGGATTTTTCCAGGTGAGCTGGTTATAATTGGCTTTGGGGGATCCAATTCTGAGAGTTTTGGGGGTGGAAGATTTTACCAAACTTTGAGCAGATTTCTGAAGAACAAAGCACAAGTAATCTCTCTTGAGTTGTTCAAGGTTAATGAAAATTCTACCATATGTTAAAATCATGATGATATAGATTTTCAGGATAATGCAAACTAAAATTAGAAGTTTTTATTCTAAGCTCCATTATGCCTTTTGGTGAAAATTTGCGTTCTAAAACATAATCATGCAGTGACATAAATCACAGAGAATAATTAAAAGATGCTAAAATTACCTTTGACAATTGGGAGCCAACTTATATTTTGTTATGGTTTGAGATTTTAAGGTCAATCATGCAGGGGCACACCAAATCCAAGAAGCCGGAGTTTGACAAGGATCCTCTGGCCAGAGTCTGACAAATCAGAGTCTGATTTGGCATGATGTTTGCAAAGCCTCATCGTGGGAAGAGGTGCCGCAGTCCCACCCTCATTTTTTGGAGTTTCGTGTATTTGCTTTGTTTTATTATATTTTATTCTTTATTGCCTCATAAGTATCACTCTGGGAAGATTGAGAATGAAATTGAGAATTATACTGAAATGTTTAATCATACTAATGACCCACCTGGGAGTTATAGTCATGGGGTCTCTGGAAATGGTCTGTGGCAGTTCAGGCCAGAAGGGGACAATGGACCCATGTACACATTTACCTTGTCTGCTTCCTGAAAGGATTGTTTTTGATACAGTTAGTGAACATAATGGAGTTGTTATTGAAAATGTACTCAAAAGTTGCTAGGCAACATAATAACCATTATGCCTAACTTGCTTGCTTCTAAGAGTTAAACAGAAATTTTTCTTTTTCTTGGGAATATAGATTTAGGTTAAGTTTTAGAATATTTTTATAAGGTTTAACTTTATAGAATAGAGTAGGTAAGAAAATCTTGTTTTTACAATGTGTTTTAATAATGGAAAAATATTGGGGAAGGGAATTTTGATTTCTTGCTTGCATTGTGTGATTAAGAAACAAGTTTGAATAAGTTTCAGTAAGGTCATATAGAGTTCAATATAGCGTAGGGTTAACTAAATACAATGTAATAGTTAATGATTATCTAGGACCAGTGGGTTTCTTGTAAGCATTTTATTTTGCTCAAAGAAAAGAATATTGTAATCATGGAAACAAACTGTAATGCTATTTTTCTTGAAACACATGTCACTCACAAAGAGATATTATGATATTGTTCAATGATTATTTTGCCTTTAAGAAAAAGTATAAAAAGTGTATGCATGCTTCAATAAAGTGTCAGCATTCAGCAGATCCCTTGAGTCTGTGTGTTTGCTGTCCATCGCCGACGCTGCCTTTCCTCCCTTTTGGGGGTTCCTTACCAGCGGGGACCTTACAATCTTTGTGCTGGGGCTGGTCCCCGGCACAATCATATATTCATTTTCTAGAAAACATTAGATTAAGACACATGGATGGACCATGGTGTAAATGTTGACGGGTCATCTCTTGGAATCTAGAAAAGATCAAAAAGAGGAAGACTGTTGTAAATTAAATGTTATTACATGAAAAATGTTGTAATTTAGAAGGCAGATAATGTTTTTAAAAAGAGAATAAGTCAATGTCCATATATTCTTGTCAAAATTACATAATTTTCATATTAGTTTCAATCCTTGAGACACAAATCTCCTTATCCTCATAAACTTCTTATGTTTGGGATAAGACATATTTTACACAGAAGCCCTGTAATTTCCAGGGCATAAAGTGCAATCTGATTTTGTGCCAAAGACTCATTTGGGGCAGCAGTACGCAGTTCAATAGAGGAATACTCTCTGATGATAATCTAGATGTATTTTCAGCAGCTGTAAAACAGCACTGTATTCTATCAGTGTGCGATACAAGGCATATCAACATGTGTCCAGTGACTTGATATTTTCATTTAAATTATTTTTATTAGTTTGCTTTCTGCATAATTGAACAGATCCAATATCTAGTTAATGTAATTTGGCATTGAGGTAATCAAAATACCACATCATCCACATTTTGATAAAATGTTTAAAGAAGCAACCTACCATACCCATATGCCATCAGCACTGGCTCAGCTGAGAGTGCTTTTCTTTGGGGTCTGAAACAATTAAAACATCACTTGAAGAGGTTCTCTCGCTTTGTAGATGCTTTGAAGCACATGGGATGTGGCAAGGGGAGGCAAAATGAGAATTTTCATGGAAAAAGGTTGACCTGCCCTGCAAGTTTTTCATGGCTATCAAATCCATACGGAGAACTTGAAAGTCCCTCGAGGGGTGATTACCAGGGGCCTCCCTTACCATGTCCGTAAACTGATCCATACAAGTCATCCGAATCAATTCAGGAGTTGCAGGGCTTCTCATGGTGAAGGTTGTGGTCAGTCCCCTCTCTCTGCGGGCAGCGGTCACTGCATCATATATGGCAAACAACACAGAGGACCCCAGGAACATTCCAGCCTCACCCAATCCCTGGGAGAAGCGCAAAAGACCATCAGAAATGTGTGGTTTTAGAGGGGGACATGGAGGGGGAAGGGGAGAGATTGGATAAGGGGCATAAAGAATAAGTATGATTTGTAACAATGACTATGCTCATAAAAATATATATGTATTTATATATAAAAAGAAATGTGTGGTTCTTTTAGGACTACTTTGTGCAAATGCACACACACACACAGACACACTCACACACAGTCACCTCTTCTGGCTTCATCACCATCAGAGTGGAGTCAGTCTGAGTGGCCAGACTCGAATTCCCCCCCTGGTGATTTGTGTGTGGGGTCCTCCTCAGAGTAGCTCATGAAAATGCCCCGGGACATCAGGATTCAGAAGGGCTAAAAACTCATGTTCCCCCACCCAGGTGAAGTCCCAAAGACCAAAGCCCTCGATGCTCTCTAGGATACCCCAACTCTGGATCCAGACCATTTGTATTTAACTGAAAAGCAGAACAAAACAGCCACAGTCTTTGTAGCTGAGCTTGAAAGGCAGTGAGGTCGTTGCCTCTTTTCACGAGTGCTAACTTCCCTGGCATGTGTGGGATGCTTTTGAATTAACAGTATGGTGGCATTATATTTTGCATAATTCATCAGTGCCTTTTTGTACTGACTTTTCTTCTTTCTTTCTTCAAGGTAGTCTGGTGTGTGGTCTGTGTCTGGGGCTTTGGTTGTTAGAGGCCCAGGTTACTCTGAGGGCTGGGGTGGGGTGGGGGTGTCTCTGAGGCGAGGGGGAGGGGTGGGCGTGGAGAGTTCTGGGTCCTATCAGGACAGAACTGGCAGGGAGGTAGCTAGACCCCAAGTGGCAGGACTGTGCTGTGTCCTGCCAGCCTTTAGGGATGGCCCTGGTCAAATGCTTCTGCAGAAGTGGAGATTGAGGCCGCTCAGACAGAAGTCTTGTCTTGACCTACTCCTAGGAAAGAGAGGTAATCCTCTGAAAACCTGAGGTTAAAGTAGCCACCTGTCGGGCCAGGTGTGGACTCAGAACAGAACTTGCGTTGGGGAAGTTGCGTTTTTTGCACACTTGTGTGCAGCACTTTTGCTTGCTATTGGTCTTTATGGGCCAGTTACAGATATCAGTGGTTAACACCTCAGAGCAGAGTCAGGGAGAAAGTTGGCTGAAATCAGGTTCTGATATAGGGAGGGTGTGGGAGAGGGTGGCTGAGCAAGAACTGAGGCTGGAGGACAGGTGGGAAGGGTGTGGGAAGGAGAGCCCTGGGCCTGTGGAGTTTGCCTACGATGTCGGTTTGACTCAGGGTGGCACCTAGCCTAATGAACCAGGATGTTCAGGTCCTCCTGGACCCTCCTGTTTGATCAGGTTTGGTTCATGAGCTCTCTCAGGGGGGAGCCCCAGGACTCGGGCTCCTGGAGTCAGTGAGCGTCACTGTGCAGGGAGCCTGCTTTTCTTTTCCCTCTCTCCTTTTGGGATTTGCAATTCAAAGAAGCAAGCAAATCCAGGGAACTGTTGTACAGTTTCCTGAAAGAGGAGGTTGTTATGAACTGAATTTTATTCCCCCTCAAATTCATATGTTGAGGTCCTAACTCCCAGTACCTTAGAATGTGACTGTATTTGGAGATAGTCTTCACAGAGGCGATTAAATTAAAATAAGGCCATTTGGCTTGGCCGTAATCCAATGTGACTTGTGTCCCTATATGAAGAGGAAATGTGACCAGACACACAGAGGAAGAACACGTGAAAACAGGGAGAAGATGGCCATCTCCAAGCTAAGGAGAGAGGCCTCAGAGGAAACCAAATCTGCCAGCACCTTGATCTCAAACTTCCAGCCTCCAGAACTGTGAGAAAAAAAATCCCTGTTGTTTAATCCAGCCAGTCTGTGGTGTTTTGTTAGGGCAGACCTAGCCAACTACGACAGAGGTCCTAAGTTCTTACCTTAGATGAGTAGATGGCTATGGGATTTCGGGAACGCACCAAAGTGACATAGAACTCTTCTGGTATCTCAGTGACGGTGGGGATTTTGTAGTCATCTGGACCCCGAGAATAAAGCACGCCTTCTGGGGAGTATTTCAGTTCTTCTATGGTATATAATCCCATGCCTTGGATAAATGCTCCCTCAACCTACAGCCGAAAGTGTCACCAGTTATTAGTATATGATATTGGTTGAATAAATATTCCAGCCTGAAAGAAAGTGGGGTTCTGAATCACAGCGTATTTCAGTTCTTCTATGGTATATAATCCCATGCCTTGGATAAATGCTCCCTCAACCTACAGGCGAAAGTGTCACCAGTTATTAGTATATGATATTGGTTGAATAAATATTCCAGCCTGAAAGAAAGTGGGGTTCTGAATCACAGCGAGCCATTCTTGAAAGCACCGTGGTGGACTTTACGAAGGGCCCTTTGGGAACCGGTGCCTGCCACCTTGCCTGGCCTCATCCTCAGGTACCCCATGTACTGACACTTGCCAAATCTCTGATAATTCTCCAAACCCACCAGGTTCTTTTTCACCTCCAATTCTTTATAAATGCAGTGTCTGCTGGTTCTCTTCCCTTCCCACCTCAATTTGTCCACCTGCCAAACTCCTAATCATCCTCCAAGTTCCAGCTGAAGAATTACGGCCTCTTGGAGTCTTTTGGATCCTCTCACCTCCCCCCAGGTGGATTTAGAAACCACTTCTTCCAGGCTCACTGCGCCTTGAACACACTCCCCATCCTGGTGGCAACTGGAGGTTATTTTCCTTGTTTCTCTCTTTCTCCCTCTCTCTTTCTCTCCAGCTTATAAGCACACAGAGGCCTTGGCCTTCTTGTATTCTGTTCTTAGCATGGTGCCTGGTACATAGATTTCTCAATAAATGTCTATTGAGTTAGATAAAAAAAAGAAGCTAACATTAAAAGAACATGAACTAGAATAAATGGAGCCAGGACACTGTAGTTTAGTATAATATCTGGATTTCTTTACTTTCCTTTATAAATTACTATGAAGAGTAGATCAGTGTTAGGCAGGGTGGGCTGGAAGAAATAACTATATTTATTAAAAGCCATGTTGAGTTCTATTTGCAAAATATTATGCTCTAGGGAAAAAAAAGTCCCTTTTAAAGAGGGTGTCTGCCTGGAGGTTATAAAAATTGGGGAGTTACAGTTTGCGTTTTATTGAAACACAAAATTTAGGAAAAGTTAAGCAAATTTAAATGCTGTATCAGAAATAACAATGCTTGTCTCTAGAGGAAAAGATCAAAACCCAAGAGATTCAGTCTAACACACTTCTGGTTTCTTTTCTAATGGGCCAAATGAAGCGTTTTCCTAATCGTAACTCTTCCTTTTTCCTTTGCTGAAGCAATAAAAGAGGCAGGAATTTACTGTGAGGAGAAGAAAAAAAGGGGGGAGGGGAGGAGAGGCCTGGGGCTAGCTGTAGGTCTGAAATTTTACAGGCTTAAGATCAATTTTGGGTGAGATTCCAAGTCCCAGCCTAGCAAAGTTATGATGAAGCAAGTCTGGGTCTTGGGTGGGCCCAGGAATCCACATTTCCAGTCAGCACTATAGGTGGTTCTGTTGCAGAGACACTGAGGACCACATTCTGAGAAATACTGAGGGACCAATAAAATTGTTCCTTATAAAACCCATCAGCGAAGGTAAACCAAGATGTTGGCAGATGAAAGTACCACATGTCTGTTGGGGTTTGATGCCAAGCTACTCAATTGCTCCAAGTTCCTACTCAGGTGCTGGCTGTGGACCAGCCACCTCAACTTCACCTGGGAGCCGGCTGGCAGGTCTGGGATGGGCTGATGCAGCTGGTGTGTTGGGAAAAAGCAAGGCTACACCAGCAGCTGGAAAGATTTTAACTCTAAGTTTAAAAAGACTTCGGTAAGCTAATTTTATTTGTTTGTGAGATAAAAATCAGAATTAAATTCAGCAAGAGAAGGAAAATCGTGTTTAAGCATTTCTTTTTCTCATATTTCTCTAAATTATGTAATCTGTTTAAATTCAATATTTATATGAACACTACCTTAACTGTATTATGTATCTATGTAATGTTCTAATTATGAACATAACGTTCACTGAAGAAAAATCAAGATGCACAGAGAATTATAAAGCAGAATAAATCATGTATATTCTTGTCATGCAAAGACAACCACTGTTAACTTTTCCTTGAATTTTCTTTCAGTATTTTATCGATGTGTGTGTGCATAATATATAGTCTATATTGCAGAAAACCTGAATTAGGTATGAACAAAGTTTGGGGAATGCTGGAGAACAGTATTCTGAATGAATAGCTGCTAAATGGGATTGGCCAAAAGTCCTTGTTGGGGGTGGTTCTGGAATCACGCACCTGTCCAATATCCAGGGCTGGGTTTATGCTGAAAGCAGCATCCATGAAGATGTCGGTCCTAAGGAGCTGCATCAAGAGAAAATATATAATGGAAAATAGTATTTATTTAAAATAGATTTTTACTAAAATTATATTACTGTCCCTGGTTTTTCCACTGGAAGGGTCAAGTTGATTATTATTCACAGCACAGGAAACACATCAGTGTTTGTGTTTACACTGTGAAGATAGTGGACACAAATGCATTCTCTTTACCTTATGAGCCCCAGTCAGACAGTCAACTTCAACCTCAGAACAGGATGCTCCATAAACGAAATACGGATAAGCGTCTCCTTCTTCCTTCTGCCAGTCCATATGCGTCTGGTAGCCTCTGAGAAGAGAAATCAGGCGTGAACTGAAAAGGCACCAGTGGTCTGATCATCTGCTGTGCTGGGTCCTGGAGATAAACAGAGCAGAGAAGCTGCCCCACAGGGACTGCAGGCAGTGTCCGTACCCTGTGCTGGAGGTCTCCCTGTCCCCTCTCCTGCAAGGGAACCATGCCATCGGGGCCAACAAGTACCACCACAAACACGGGAGATCAACTGGTGTCCACTCCTCCTCTCCAGCGTGTGGTGGTTGGGATGAGTCAGAGTGCATGTGGATAGTGATGCTGTCCCTCTTGGCTGGTAAATAGCTGCTGCCCCAAGGAGGCTCTGGAATGTCCCCTGCCCTGGCCCTCCCCCAGACCTCCTTCCCCAGCCCCCATGATCCCATGAGTAAAGGGTTAATGCTGGGTATAGCAGAGCTCCCGTGCTCTCTGGGCATCTGCTCAGACTGATGAGTGCACGTCACCCCTGGGGAAGTGTAGTGTAAGCCAAAGGAAAAACGGTCTTTACTTGAAATATCCGGTAGCTGAGAGACTGATGGACTCTTCAAAGGCTTTTGCAATCTGAAAGAGATGATTAGTTACAAAGAAGTATGAATTTAGGGAAAGTGATGAGAAATGCCTTCCACACTGGGCCTGCCTCTCGTCTGCACCCATGTTCACCTCAGCTGAGACTTAGGTCTGGGCACCAGCTGCAGGTCAGGCTTTTCAGGGATGTGCTTAAGGCAGGTGCAAGCTGTGCTCTAGGACCCTGTTTTTTTGGGTTGCACAGTATAAAAGTTATTACTTTTCACCCTCTTTGGACTTAAATTAGGGAGGGAGCTAGGCCATATTTAAGTACTTATGTACATAGGTACATAGGTATGTACAGGGGATATACATATAGTACATATATGTATTTTCATCCTGCTTTGTTCCCAAATAATTTGGGTGTGTCAATATATGATCATGTCAGCTGTCCTGCAGAAGTAAACTGGGTAGGGCTGGGGAACAGTAATAAAAATGGTAACTGTAATAATTATTATTATTATTAAGAATTGAGTAATCCTTTGATCTTTGGACTACTATTATCTCCATTGTACAGGTGAGAAAACCTGAGGCACTGGGGCAGGGTGTTATGGTCTGAATGTGTCCCCTCAAAATTCATATGTTGAAATCCTAACCCTTAATATGATATTAATCGGAAGTGGGGCCTTTGGGAGATGATTAGGTCATGAGGGTGGAGCCCTGGTGAATGGGATTAGTGCCCTTATAAAAGAGACCCTAAAGAGCTTCCTTGCTCCTTCTGTCATGTGAGGACACAGTGAGAAGTCACCATGTATGAACCAGGAAACGGGCCCTCATCAGACACAGAATCTGCTGGTGTCTTGATCTCAGACTTGCAGCCTACAGAACTGTGAGAAATAAATTCCTGTTCTTTATAAGCCACCCAATCTATAGTGTTTTGCTATAGCAGCTTGAATGGACTAAGACAGGGGTAAGTGGCTTGTCCCATAGGCTAGTAGTGACAGAACAGGGACAGCAGCCCTTGGTGTGTTTTACTTCAGAGCCCATTCTTTTATCACACTCTGTGAAAAATTAGGCTCTGAAATAAAGTCAGGTTTCAATGAACACAGACATGGCTTTTAGGAAAAGCAGAAGGAAAGGCTAGCAAATGCTTTGCTTCTTGATCGGGCACCCCCAATCAGCCTGTGCAGCTGGGGCTGTGACCCACCTGGATGCATTGACTTTTCCTGGCAGGGACAGCAGAGAGAACACTCACCCAGTCCTCCCATTTTCCTTTAGGGTTCTTCCTGATGATGGGCTGAAGACGGGCCATAAGAATTTGGCAGGCATTCTAAAAATAAATATTTGAAATGATATCAGAAATAAAAGGCACAGGAAATAGCAAAATGTTAACTATTTAAATCAATTCAAATGCAGACAGTCAATTTTGTGAACCTGCTTCCTAGTCATTTAGTCAGGGTTTCTTAAACTTGGAGTCTCTTCAAAGGAAAAAATGTTCTGTGGATTCTTCAGTGCTGACGTGAAATTATTTTTATTACAATGTTTAAGTATATGTTAACATAAAGCTAGATAGTGTCTCAGAGTTATAGCTCTTTTCAAACTAAAACAAAATGACAGAGCATGCACACCAATCTATATACCAATAAAATTCAAAATAACAACATTAATTTAGTTGATTGATGATGTTGTGTTTTGCAGCTAAATTGCTGCTTGGAATGTGGAAAAAGTATTGAACACTGTGGCACAGATACTTTTGAGTTCAAAATGCCTATGGTACACCAGTTGATGGATCAATTGATGGATCAATTGATTTGCCTAATCCACCTACTGTTCTTACTTAAATTGCCACAGGATTTTCATTTGCATGTATACCTCACCATCATCTGCTCTTCATTGGGCAAGAGCACACAATTTACGTACGAAGTCGAAGAAAAATCAAGATGCACAGAGAATTATAAAGCAGAATAAATCATGTATATTCTTGTCATGCAAAGACAACCACTGTTAACTTTTCCTTGAATTTTCTTTCAGTATTTTATCGATGTGTGTGTGCATAATATATAGTCTATATTGCAGAAAACCTGAATTAGGTATGAACAAAGTTTGGGGAATGCTGGAGAACAGTATTCTGAATGAATAGCTGCTAAATGGGATTGGCCAAAAGTCCTTGTTGGGGGTGGTTCTGGAATCACGCACCTGTCCAATATCCAGGGCTGGGTTTATGCTGAAAGCAGCATCCATGAAGATGTCGGTCCTAAGGAGCTGCATCAAGAGAAAATATATAATGGAAAATAGTATTTATTTAAAATAGATTTTTACTAAAATTATATTACTGTCCCTGGTTTTTCCACTGGAAGGGTCAAGTTGATTATTATTCACAGCACAGGAAACACATCAGTGTTTGTGTTTACACTGTGAAGATAGTGGACACAAATGCATTCTCTTTACCTTATGAGCCCCAGTCAGACAGTCAACTTCAACCTCAGAACAGGATGCTCCATAAACGAAATACGGATAAGCGTCTCCTTCTTCCTTCTGCCAGTCCATATGCGTCTGGTAGCCTCTGAGAAGAGAAATCAGGCGTGAACTGAAAAGGCACCAGTGGTCTGATCATCTGCTGTGCTGGGTCCTGGAGATAAACAGAGCAGAGAAGCTGCCCCACAGGGACTGCAGGCAGTGTCCGTACCCTGTGCTGGAGGTCTCCCTGTCCCCTCTCCTGCAAGGGAACCATGCCATCGGGGCCAACAAGTACCACCACAAACACGGGAGATCAACTGGTGTCCACTCCTCCTCTCCAGCGTGTGGTGGTTGGGATGAGTCAGAGTGCATGTGGATAGTGATGCTGTCCCTCTTGGCTGGTAAATAGCTGCTGCCCCAAGGAGGCTCTGGAATGTCCCCTGCCCTGGCCCTCCCCCAGACCTCCTTCCCCAGCCCCCATGATCCCATGAGTAAAGGGTTAATGCTGGGTATAGCAGAGCTCCCGTGCTCTCTGGGCATCTGCTCAGACTGATGAGTGCACGTCACCCCTGGGGAAGTGTAGTGTAAGCCAAAGGAAAAACGGTCTTTACTTGAAATATCCGGTAGCTGAGAGACTGATGGACTCTTCAAAGGCTTTTGCAATCTGAAAGAGATGATTAGTTACAAAGAAGTATGAATTTAGGGAAAGTGATGAGAAATGCCTTCCACACTGGGCCTGCCTCTCGTCTGCACCCATGTTCACCTCAGCTGAGACTTAGGTCTGGGCACCAGCTGCAGGTCAGGCTTTTCAGGGATGTGCTTAAGGCAGGTGCAAGCTGTGCTCTAGGACCCTGTTT